TCGTGTTTGATAATGAATCTGAGCAAAAAAAAGGGTACGAAAAAAAAAGAGAATAAAGAAGTTGGCGTTATAAAGACATTAAACTCATGCTTTAGATAAGCTTAATACGTTGGTGGCTCGATGACATCGAAGCTTTGCTCAGTGAATGTATATATTTCTTGATGCTGTCTAGTCCTCTTGTCGCTAGACTGAATCACAATTTATGAAGCTGATGAGAGAATCCTGGTCGCGAGAATCCGCGAGCTAACGACCGTATGTTATTTTATCGCGTCACGTGAGAATATAAAGCTCAAGTCAAGTAATTTCTCTTAATCCTAATCGTCTAATTTATTTCACACGTAATTGCTGCATATCAGATAAATAGGCACATTGAAAATGCGTGGAATTCTATCAAGAGTTTTCTCATGCAAACACAACTTCATGGGATTATCCCATGACTAACAACTTTGACGATGAGGATTTTAATGATTCCAGACAATGTTGGCCCACCAGATACACTCTTGATATACACCCGGATACGTCAACATCTAATGCTTCCGGCGGTTTGGTTTGATACAGTAGCGACTGCTCCAGTGAGGTTGCTGGTTTTTTTGGGTGAAGCTTTTACCATGAAAATTTTATGAAATTCGTGAAACTTAAACATGTAATAAACCATGATCTTATTTCAATGATGTATACTCTTGATTGACATTGAATAAAGTACTTGTCAAATTCAGTCTAGCCATCTTCACAATGTCAATCATGCTTGCTTTTATAGGTGAATTGAAGTGACGTAATTAAAAAAGAAGGATAATGCATCTGACAGTATTTTCGATGTGAGATTTTCCATGAAATTGGATGATAATTTGCAGTGAATCGTTAGTTATAGGATTAATTATTTTAGGATTTGATACTTCAAGTAAAGACTTATTTATGCATCGTAGAGGATGTTTAATCCTTACTTATTTACTGTAAGAATACTACAAAAATTTTATTTTCGATGTAGTGAGGTATATTGGAAAATTTATTACGTCTCTTCTATTCTATTGGTCTAATCCATAATTATGCATACCATTCTTTTATTTCCTTGTTTAAAACCATTGATCCATAAGAGTCTAAAAATAAATCATTCTCTATCAAATTTACCTCCAACAAATGACTGCAAACTTGAAATCACCATCAACGTCATGCACCAATAACTTGTAATAGTTCTATAGCAGATCGAAGATTTTCAATTCATTAGAATCTAAGTATCTCACATTCAAACTTCCCTATTCATTCCACTGCGATATTCTTTCTATGATTACTATGCTGATCACCTCCTCACCGAGAACATGAAAAAAAAAATATTAAAAACAGTGTAAGAATATTTTTTTTATTTTCTAATACATTCGATCGTATTAACGATAACACCTGCAAGCACATGTACTGGATAAAAAATGTACAGAACGAGTGGAGGATTATCACAAAATCGGACAGTATCGATGCCTAAAGCGATGTGCGTATAAAGTATATTAAAGCCCTGCAATTACGAAAATACTGGGTTGAACCCTGGAAGGGATGTATCAAAAGAGAAGCGTGCAAACGATCTTGCTTGTTGTTACCATCTTGTCTCGTCAATCTCATTGGCTCCAATTTCATAAGTGATCTTCATCTCAGCCATACGGTTGTCATTCAATCAAACTGAGCTTGACTTGAATGGAAATATCGCCTCAGGTAAGTTGAGAGCTTAATGATATCATTGATAGCTCTCATACATTGTATGCATGTAAATTATTGTGTTACTAAAGTGCTCAGTTCATGCAAATTATACAACATCATCTGTGTCGAAGGGAAATGCGTGTGGAAAATGTTCAGAAGATGATCTGATTATAACTTTCAAAGTTGCTTGCAAATTGTGATAAGGAAAGTTCTTATGACATCGATACAAAGATACTTCCAGCTTTACTAAGTGCAAGTGAATGATACTGTAAAAGTGTAAAAGGATTTTTTATTTTACTTTTTTATCTCTTTTTGTCTTCTGAGTTCCTCTTTATTTTTTAGATTGTAATAAAATAGTGGCACCAATGATGACAAGAATAATTAACGTGTTAGAAACACTTTTTTCTTCATGCATATCATTTGATCAAGTCAACTTTAGTGCACAGGTGAAAATTGTGTTTAATTAATGGAAGTTAAGAAGAGATTAAAGAATAGAGAAATAGATTTCCATATATACTGTTGAATGAAAAACATCTGTGATGCAAAGTCTTATGTAGCTCCAAAAAGTTGGAATGAATTTTGACTTGAATAAACCAATCTTTAAATTAAAGTTTTGGTATTTTATTGAAAAGATCTCTGTTATTTTCTATTTTTTAATATTGTTTATTAATCTTTAATTCATTTGATCTGCTAAAAAGCTCTTATATCATAAAAATATTATCCTGTATAAAATAAATTAAATAAAATGATGATAAAAAAAATTTTTTATTTCAACATTCAGATATTCAAGTGATATTGATATATCAAATCTACTTCTAGGCAGCTTTTTAGTGAAAAACATTTGAAAAACTTTAATAAAAAAAAAAAGTGGCATCAAGTTTTATTATTAATAAAGAATATGCAATAAATTTTAATTAACGCGTTAGTTGCATTTAAACTCACAGTTTACTGTATAATTGAAAATAAAAATTTATCACAGTTCTAAAAGTTTTTAATAGTTGATGAATAGTGAATATTAAAACGTCCAAATAAATATTTTTTGTTGTCAACTTTATATTTAGTAATAAGATTGATTAATTTAGCATGAATTTGACTCTTCGTTATTATTCATAAATTTTATTTGAAGATGATTAATAAAACTACCCAACTACAAGTGCTGTAATGAGAAAAAAAATCGATTAATATTTAATAGATCATTAGTTCAAAAATGTCTATTTTAACACACTCTTATTAATGTTCAATGAACAATTATTTAAATTGCAAACAATTTAAATTACAATTAACTCAAATTAATTATTGATTACTTCAAAATAAATAAAGCAGTGTAAAAAAGAAGTACATCAATATCATGAATAATGAATTTTTATTAACCATAAGTTTAATTATTCTACATACCATAATTGCATAAAAAATAATTGGTAACAAAAAGTATCAAATAATTATTTATAAATTTAAATTATTTATTTTGTTTCACTTGTAATTAATTAATATTTATAAAAAAATTTAATTGTTTAATTTTTTATTCATCACATAATAACAGTAATTGCTATTGTTTGAGATTCATATTAAATTAATACTATTTATAAATTCTCTAATGCAACAGTAAACTCATCAAAATGTAATAAAAAACCGTAATTGGTTATTTTTAATATTTTATTAAAAGCTCAGGTAATATGCTTTTGTGTCTAACAATTCTATTGAATTATAATATTAAAATCATCAGCAGTTGTTTATATCAAGATTATATACTTGATCATAAGATATAATTCCAAATGAACAAAAGTGATTAAATAAAGTTCTGCAGCTACTTGAAACGGATTTTTTGCTGATTTGCAAAATAATTTATTTTCTTATAAAGAGAAACCTGTTTTTTAATGTTTTATTTACATTAATCTCTAGTCTAAATAATTAATTGATTAAACAATTTCTTTTTTTAATGCATAAAAAATATATATTCATAAATTAAAGTACAATTTTTTCATCTCAAAATAAATGCAAATTTAGAGAAGACACTTAAGCGACACTAATCAATTTCGCAGAAACTTTAACAGTCAGCATAAAATATTTTAAGATTTTATAAAGTTGCTTGAAAAATGATAAAACAAGTTTTCCAAGAAGATTTCACTATTCTTGAGTGCATGGAAAATAAATAAAACGTTTTGTGGAGAATTCTGCGAAACATTCAACAAAGTATTGTACACTATTTCAGCAAAACTCGTTTAGAAGTGGACAAAAGGTGGTGTCAGAGTTGACGCTTACATAGCGTGACCGTTGTGTCAACGTACGTTTTACCTGTAACACCATCACCGTCGTTTCTTTTGTACCTTACAGTGATATTCGTGCTTGGTTAATACAAGAAGTTATCCACTTGGAAATCCGCTCTAATACCGAGGGTACGGTTACAAACTTCAGGGTAAACTGAGTGGCCAAGTTTTGCGTACGAACATAGGGAAAATAGACGAATAGGAAACTACGATAGAGCTTTCCAGATTTTCGCGAAAATTCGCGAGTGAAATTCTATAATGGGCAAATGTTGTGAAATACATTCCATATATTCACTCGAATTCACTTGCTCAAGGCTATGCAGTGAAATCATATTGATTTACATCACGAATGATATGCGCTTATGGAAGTCAAACTCTTTGCTATTCTTCACTATTAGCATAACGCAAATTTCATACTGATAATTAGAGTGTCTAGTAAGTTGGTAAAATATTAAACTCAGTAGAAGTAGTCTACTTATCATCATCATATTTTTGATATTTATTTAAAATTGGTTTTGAGTTGAAAAAGTCACTGAATAGACTTTTGTGCTTTTTTTTTGAGAAAAGAAATCAGATTTTTCGAATATTCGAGAAAATTTACAATCGCTTCTGGCAATTTTCTATCTCATTTGTCACTTTTAACGAATATATACTAAAAGCAAAAGCTGTGGGGAAAGAAAATATATCCAGAAATAATTTTCTCTTCAACAAAAATATATTTTGTATCTCTATTTAAATAAAGTGACATGATATCAAAGGAAAAATATGAGAAATTTGCTTTTTGGCCTAATAAATACGAAAAGAATAAATATAAATATTAAAAAATACCTTCCTAATAATTTTACTACTTTTTTCTTCATCATTTATAAATATTCTAAACTATAAATTTAATTACAGTGAAATGCCATACTTTCTCCAATTTGATTTCATTAGATTCAATTAAACCTGATTTGATTTCGACTTCCTACTTAACTAAGCTTCAGTAGATACTACTGAGTTCTATCAAATCTGATTCAAATTCAGGTATTGAAGGCACTGATTGAGTGTAATTCAAGGCAGAATCAATAGGAAATCATTGAAGGAAGTGACTGGAATGTCACCAACAATCAAGTAAATAATAAATAGTCAAAAAACTTACCACATCGAAGTCAAGATTTGCAGCTATCCAGTCACGTCCTTGTTTGTATTCATCATGGAGGCCCATAATGTAGAGTGTGTCGAGGCCATCAACGATGCTAGCACCCATGCTTGAAGCTCCAAAAATGCTGGCACTGTGTCCTCTCTTACTGATGGGTCTGAGCTCATTTTTGCCCCAGGCGTATCTCACATAATTGTCCCATCCAAATTTCATCATCTGCCAAAATAAAAAATACATGAGAATGACAACTAGAAAAAAGATTAATGTAATACATAATTCCATAGCTTGTGCACTGAGAAACAAATTGACTGTGAACGAGTAATATTTTTTTCAGCCTATGAAATCAAAATTTTTGAATCGACATGATGACATTTTTATAGATTCAGTTCTTAAAGCAATATTTTATTGCAAATATTTTCAATTCTTTTTTTTTTTAACCAAATAAACATTTTTTTCTCAATGTGTAGGAAAAATATTATACATGTACATATTATATGACATTTTTTATTCATCCTTTTCCTCCCTGACTCTTCTCTCATTTCTATCCTTTTGGTTTCATAGAAGCAAAGCTTGATAAGAATTGGAATATCAGATGAAAAATAAAGGAATAGAAGTGTCCTCAATAAGCTTTTATCTCGTTAGAATGCTTTTCTCAATGATTAAATTCTTGCTCTCAAGTGAGAAAAGAGCTCGTACAGTATACCGCTAGATCTTGTCTTTTAACACGTAAACAACGGCATGTTTCAATGAAAATTCACGAGGTAAATGTGTTTCCAACGCGACCAACACGTCACCTTGTTTATACTTGGGAAACTTTAGCCTCGCTCTTAAGTTTTCAAGTACTACCAACTCGCTCTTGGTTTTGTAGAAGAAACTTTACCAAACCATACATATACCTTATTACATAGCTATGTTCGTAATCGTGTCACGTGCATCGGCGATAATTGCCGGGTCTTTGGTGTAGATATGCCATATACGTATTGAAGAAAGTAAAGTGAAAGACAGAAGAACGAAATGTGAGAAAATAAAATCCTTCAATGCTTTAATAAGCTATCCTAAATATGTTACTAAAAATAATATAGAATTAAAGGATAATTATATCCAGCAAAAAAGTTATAATTGTTAATAATTAATGTTTTTTTGGGAGTTGAGTGAAGTTGGAATACTTGGTCCGAAGTTGGTATCTCCGGAATTAGCCCAACTATTTTGATACTGTTTGTACTTCAAGTGCACGTTTCATACTTTGGCTTAAAAACATCGTAAATTACATCACTATGTGCTTATATTTAAAAAGGTTTTGTCATGGGAACAATTTCATCAGAATATTTAACATTTTTTATTTCAGATATTTTTGTTTGCTAAACATTATCAAAATATTAAAAGTATTCAATTTGTTTAAACTAAAGTCTATAAATTATTTACAACAATAATTTGTACTTCAAAATTTCAATTGTATAAAGAAAAACAATTTGATTTCCTTATTTCTCTGAAAGATGTTCAATTGTGATTTCCTTTTGAAATATAGTTATTAGTAATTCAATTTAAAATATTTTTTTACTGCATTTTTTCAACGATCAAACGAATTCATACGTCAAGTTTTTTATAACCATGAGTAAAAAATCATCTTCTTTTTAAAAGCGTAAAGTAATCGCTGAGCTTGTAAAAGAAAGCGACCGTAGAGAATTAAATTGACGTTAAAGGTATAATCACTTACACGCTCGTTTAAAAATTTTACAATATAAGAAATGAATTCATCTATTGGTAAGATAATTTGCTGAAATAATTCAATTACTTGAGGAACATTTATTGACAAAAAAAAATATTTAAATATATCTTTATTATAAATTATAAATAATTTATCAACTTTTTAGTATTGAATTATTTTTTAATTAATAATTTGAAATAGGTGCTTTTGATAAGAACAAACGACTTACTTAAAGAGATGTAGTGAAAAAGAAATAGCATTAATTGTTTTTTTAATTTAAATAATAGAACCCCAAGTATTTCGATTTTATCCTAATTGTTATTATCTTGAATGCATGAAATTTATTATCTCCATCCTTTACTACCGACACTAACGATTGTTAGTCGTGTAATTGTGGCTAATTTGTACAAAGAAATAGCAGTAAATACAACGTAAAAGGCAAATGCACGTCCAGTAGGTTTGTGTTGCAAGCTTCAAGTAATCTGGTTAGTGTCCACGTTGAGATTAAACCATTAGCTTGGTTCGTGTGTTCGGTAAGAGAACGAGGTAAGAGGAAACACAAGTGAACAAAGATAAAAAGGGAAAAAGTAAAAGAAGCTGAGTTACTCAAAGTAAAGTTTTAATTCGTTAGAATGAAATTTTCTAAATGTCTGTTATCCTTTGTGTAAAAGTAATCATTAGAATATAAATTTCAATTTTTATTTTTAACAGTTTTACTTGAATCTATAGAAGACAATTAATTGAACTGATAGCATACTCCAGCATTATTGTATTGATCAATAATAAAAATAAAAAAAAAGTTCAAATGATTGTGCTTTCTCTTTACTTCATTCTTCTTCTTTTGTATAAACTTCATTTTTTCCTTCTTTTTCGAACGTTCAATTCAAAGAGAGCTCATCTCATTATCTTGGACTCTTGGAGGCTGACGATGCTAATAGGAAAGCAGATGGAAGTGCGATTTTACTACCAATTTTTCTTGTTCGCTAAGCGGAAAATTACTTTCGCTTTTCTTTTCCTCATATAGATCTCCATAAAGAGGTGGACAAGCTTCCAAACAACTCAGAAAAATCTCCAAAGACATATCCTACTTGGCGTAGAGAGGTCTTCTACATGGAGCAACGCCTCCAATTATATATTCTCTCTTGTCTTCAAAAACTTTCAGCTCCCTACAGCTATTTGTATATTTAATAAACATAGAAAAATCTATTTTAGAGAAAAGTTGATATGATTGAGGCAGATTCAATTTATTTTGATGATCTTACTCATTTTCTAAGAACTTTAGGTGCTATTATTTAGAGCAACATGAGTCATGTGAATAGTTTCTTAGTATTTGAGATAATACTATTTCCGTTGGAGTATTTCAAAAATAAAATAACACCATTCTAATCATGTTGCTTTTCAATAAATAATTTAATGTGAATTTTTATTTAGAAAAATCGAACAAAAGTAACTCTTGGAGCTATAAATAAGGATCAATGCTGCTGCGATAGCTTGAAGATGAATCCAAATTGGGTCAGCGGGCTGGCTTTGATAGCTTAGCTGTGACAAGAGGAGTATCATTGCGAATTTATAGCACCAAAAGCCTACTTTGAGCTAATTACCAAATTTATTTATAGCAAATCTAACTTTAAAAACCCAAAATCACTGACTATCTTGTTAGAATAAACTTTGAATATGAGAAAAAAGAGGAATTTGGTGATGAATGAACTTGCAGGTTGTTAATCATTAGTCGACATGAATAAAAGGTGAGCAGAGAAGCTCACAAGGCGTCATGGTGAGATGTATATTGTCTACCAAACACACATGGTCCATCACCTCTCTCTTCCTTGTCGTTTCTCATGTCTAGAGCCTGAGGTATAATTACGTCTTTGTTTATCATTGTTAGACGAGGGAGGTATTGTGTCTCAGCTCAGGTTAATAGCGTGAATTAATCTTTGCTTAAGCGATGAGACTACTGGTACTAACAGCATCCCTCTCTATATTCGCCAAGATCCCTGCGGCCTAAAAGCGTCATTCTACGTATTTACCATTCCACTCACCTTCCTTCGTCTTGTTATATTCGTTAGTAGATATATAGTACACGAAATCCTGACTCAAACTACATCAGCGTCAACGCGTTCTCACTCTCAATGTCTTTTCGTCCGTCCTAACTAACGCCTCATTATGAGGAGCCCATTTCATTGTCCCAACGTCTCTTATTCGGGCCACCAGACAATGAGAGTGTTGGCTGAGGATAGAAGAAAGACATACACACCGACGAGGGAAGCGTTTTACGGTAATCCGAGTGGCAAACAGGGTGAGAAGAGAAATATAAGAGAAATCTCCACTGAAAGAGGTGAGCTTTCAAGTCACCAGCTAAGAAGGTCTGTTAATTGTGCTGAGACCTACTCACTGATAGATGCTATACTGGCTTCATCATGATTGTTAATTGTGTTTAGCCTGGCTGTTATTCATTCGGGCGCTTCATCTCGTTTTACGGTTAACCGAACTTCCTGAGTGCAAATTTCGTAACGATCGATTGCACTTCCGGACTGATGAACGCTTCCTCTCTGTTGCCGCAATGGATATGTCGATACTCTATACTGTTTCTATACAAAGCACCGTTAATTATTGCCGATAGACATTTAGTCACTCGATATTTTCATAGTAAACAACCTTTGTTACCACCAGCTAACGATATTCTATGGCTTTCGATTGCTGGTCGAATATAACTTTGTCTTGGATGTCAGTAACATTTGATCATTACTCGAAATAATCATTTTTGAAGTTGCGATGGAAAATTTTGGCACAATGTTTGAGATTTATACACTTTCACTATTACCAAAAAAATACACAAGTTGATCTGATGACAATAAATTTTTTTTATGAATGATTATTTCTCAAAAGATATGAACATTGTATCAAATTTATTGACAAATATTTCCAAGACTTTATAATGCATTGAAGTAGGGCAAATTGGGATTAAATCATTTCCGGGTTAAAATAGGTCCTCACAAAAAATGGCAAAAACTTTTTGTACTCCTGACGGTTTAAACACTGATTTATTCATTAGATTGTTTATCACTGAGATTAATCAAGTAAATGGTGAGATAGGGAGTATTTTTATGATGATTAATAAAATTTTGCAATCAGTATTAAAAAAAAACCGTTAAACAATGAAAGGGAAAATATAGATTGATTTATTACATCATTATTTCGTAAAAACATCCAACAATAAATTATTTGATTGATGTCAACTATTATGTAGTCTGCTGTTGACCGAATAAAAATTAATTCATCATACTTTTAATATTTTTATAAGCATGAAAATGGTTTAAATGTGATGTTATAAATTTCATGATACTTATCAGGGTTACACAAAAAATCGAACCAATAAAATTTGAGAGAACTTAAACATGATGCTTTTGCTTCTAATCATCATAATTACAAAAATAGAGAAATATAATTTTATTTTAAAAAATAAAAAAACTTAAAAGATAAAAGTAAATAATGATTAGTATTTTTAAGTATA